GTGAAGTTTTTCTTTCAAAAAACACAAAAATTTTGCGACGATTTTGCTTTCACAAAGAGAAATATGCAGTTCATTATCATTTAAATGCCACCAAACGACTTCTGTAAGAAAATTGAATGATTCGTAAAATCTTGTCTGTCAAAATGAAAATCAACTTTGTCAGAAATGATGGGGACAGTTTTCTTATTTCAATCTTACATAGAATAGTTATGAATCAAATACACAACTTTTTGGATCAATCTGAAACTCGATTCACGCACGCTTCCGGGAACTGACATGAACGCGAGTCTGACTAGTTTCATCCTACGTCACGGAAATATCATTTCCACGAAAGTACTTTTCGAACTCACTCTCACACTACATCTAGCCTCTCCATCCATCCCCATTTTGGTATAGTATAAGAAATACTATTTTTATTAAGAAATACTGTTTAAGAAATAAAACAACTTTAACACAAACAGCAAGCATATACAACAATTAACGACACGTCTGCAATGTTCTACAAGAAACACGACATTTCATTGTTTCCTTCACATCCACTGCTTGCAAGTGGACATCACAGGTACCTAAAATGAACTCAAAAACTTTCCTTAACCGAGCATTCTCTATAGAATCTGAAACTCGTGAAGAGTCGGTTCGCGGAAGGGGCGTGTCACGCTAAAGTTCATAAGATGTTGTAGCCATATTTCAAAAATATACTCTAATAATATAGCTGAAGCTATCGTTCTTATGAATATTTTAGAAAAAATAGAAATTATGACTATAGGAACTCTACTCTCTTAACTGCTGCTGTGTGAATGAAAAGTCAATATTTGGATACTTGAAAGCTTTCAACAGTATCATTTGACTCTACGGAAACTCTTGCTGTGCGGAACTCACCATACGTTACGACTCATTTAAACGGAAACCATGAGAAACCTTACTGCTTGTTCTATATAAAGGCACTCATTGCTTTTTATAGGAATGAAAACGGGACACAGAGAAAATAGTGGATTTATAATTGATAAGTGAAGCGATTCTGAACCCAAATGGTTGGAGACTACATAATTTTTCATCTACAACGATTCCTGATTTTCAAAAGTTTAGTGAAGATCCTCGCGATTCACGTGATTCCGTCTCCTGTGCTTTCACTTTATACCTAATTTCATCTTTCATATAAACTAAGAGGATCATTTTCATCCTTCAGGTAATTTGCGATGGAATATAGCAGGTATAACTGTTGCAGGCAATGGCAAAGCGGGTATTGGGCCGAATCAGTTAAATTCTCCTAATGATTTATTTATTGACTCGAATGGAACTCTTTATATAGTAGATTCTTACAATAATCGTATTCAAAAATGGTTTAAAAATGCAAATAGTGGTGTAACAATTGCTGGCGATATGAACGGTGCACCTGGTTCAACATCAGATAAATTATACAATCCAAATAATGTTTATGTTGATAAGGAGCAAAATTTATACATATCTGATAGTCGTAATAATCGAATCCAATTGTGGACAAAGGGATCATTAAATGGAACAACACTAATAGGATCAGATGTGCGTGGCAGTGCATTAAATCAAATCAAAACACTAGGATTGATTTGGTTAGATTCTGAACATCATTATATCTATGCAGCAGATATTGGTAATCAGCGCATTATGCAGTATATGGTTAAATCGAATATCGGTGATAGTGGTCGAATTGTAGCTGGTGGAAACGGTCAGGGTAATAGAAAGAACCAATTAAGTGACCCATATGGTGTATATTATGATTCTCGATCACATACAATGTATATATCAAATACTAATTTTGGACATACAATTGTAAAATGGAAGTTAGATGATTCAAGTGGTACACTGGTTACTGGCACACCTGGCACAGCAGGATCAAAATCAAATCAATTAGATTATCCTGGTGGCGTTGTTGTTGATGATTATGGTAATGTTTATGTTGCTGATCAATTGAACCATCGAATACAAATGTTCTGTCATGGGTCAAATGGTAACGGAATAACGATAGCTGGTATCAGTGGTAGCGCAGGAAGTGATAACGATAAATTAAATAATCCAAATGGGCTTGCATTTGATTCAGAAATGAATTTGTATGTGGCTGATTTACATAATAATCGGATACAAAAATTTATGAGACTAAAGTAAACAGAACTGCCATATTATCATTATACAGTATGATGATGCCTTAGCAGTGACAGTTTGGAATTCTTGACATTCTACACTAGTGAGAATTGCATAATATTCATCTGTCTGAATTTCAGAACATATACAACTTCAACTATTTCCGAATTTGCAGGAAATGCAACGATTTCTTTTGTCAATCTAATACAGAAAAATTAGAAATGAGAGAAAAAAACAGAGTCGAAAACACAGCTTTGTCGAGGAGGAGTTAGGAAGAGGAGTGTGAGTGGATATATGTAATGAACTATGTGGTGGCAACATCTCAACGTTTTCGGACGTTACGCTTTGAGCGCGTTAACCTATGTCACCGTAAGTTGCATTACGTACCAAGTGTTGGTGTCAGAAAAGATACGAACTACTTACGGATTCCCCAAAAAATAAAATGTTCCCATGCTGAAGTTCCTGAAACTCATACTATGCACACTATAAGTTCGCTGGGAATTCAAATTTAGTAGTTTCGTTATCAGTTTATTATATCATATATATATATATATAACTAAACATATATGTATGTGAATTATGTATAAGGTATATATATTCTCCTCGGTTTGCAGGCGTCTAGGTACTTAGGTATTTAGGTTTTGGGATTTTTTAATATATAGGTATTTATAACCATATATACATTTGATTTTGAGAATGAAACAAACAAGCTCGCGATGATCAGGAGCGTAACTTTGGGGCGGAACTAGGCTTGAAGTTTAATCGATTATAACATTCGGTTTAAAATAATATAACTATATCGTGTTTACCAATGCATCCCGAAATATGGTAGTGCATAATATTATGCCATATAATGAACATGTTAAACGTACCATATAATGAATATGTTAAACAAACTCGAATGTACAAATGAAATGAAGGCTGTAATGATTAGGGGTGTTAATTTAGTGTTACTTTGGAAAATAAATGTAAATGAATCATTTATACTTAAAAAATAAAGATAAATTCGTCATTTATATATAAAAAATAAATGTAAATAAATGAAAAAAAGTTTATCTTTATTTTATAAAAGTAAATGATCGATTTATTTTTATTTATTTCTACCTTTACTTTTAAAAATAAAGGTAGAAATAAATAAATAAATATAAATGAATCATTTACTTTTATAAAATAAAGATAAAATTTTTTTTTCATTTATTTACATTTATTTTTTATATATAGAAAAGAATCAAGGTCCAAAAAGGACCCTGAACGGCGTCCCAAGATTTTTTAATATACTTCAAGCTGGAGAGTTCGGGTTTGTTTTATTTTAAACTAGACACCTAACTACATCGACTGACCGGCGCCGATTTTT